AATAAAATACCTAGATAAATTAATTCAAATAACTGGGATTGGTTTTAATTATCAACTAGTACAAGATTTCGAATAAAGCAATAGGAATAGAAAATAAATAACAAAGAACAAGCACGATTTAAGGAGCTAGGGAGTCGGGGATATCCGTTTTGGTTCGAAATGCAATTAATCGGTAAGTGATTGTTCAGCTAAGTGATTTGAGTAACCGACACGTTCAAGTACTCATTCTCAATATCTTTTCGTAACAAGAGAACAAACTAAAACGGCATATTATCAATTCATTTAACTTCTAGGCAATTCAGCTACGAACAAGCCTAGTTCATACGAGTTTATTTCGACCGAATCCTCCCCTTTCGGTTCAAAGAGTCAATTAAAGAAAACTAGAAGGTGGTGAATCAACTAGCCGTTTAAAATTTCATAAAAATCATGCACAAATTAAACGAATTGAATTAAAATAATTGGACGTTGAAGTGTCACCCTTCAACGATTCGCAAAACTCAAGCCTGATAATCGAAAAACCCTAGAAAAAGAGCAACTCGTACAAATTGAACAATCTCAAGCCCGAAAATCACAAACGATTCCCAAACATCAATCCCCTACTCCCTAGCCTACGAATTTAGCTACTCATAATCGAATCAACAATCATAATCATCACAATCAAAAAATCCATATTCATCAACTAAATGAAAAAAAAAAAATCTTACGATTGATAAAATCCGAAAGTCAAATTCAATAGACAAGCTTGAATCCAAAATAAATAGCAAAATCCGAGATCAAGTCCGTGTTCGACGTCCAAAATTATCCAAGGAAAAGTGAAAGATTGAGTTTCTTTGAAGGGAAAGGATCGAACAAAAACTAAAAACCTAGGTTCTGAACGTGACCCTGTGAGTTCGAAAATCTGACTTTTAATTCAGCTTTCGCGCGAGTCGTGGCTGCGGAGAGGATCGCGGACCCTGGTGAAGAAGGGCTCCGCGGCCGGGAATCATCTCGAGGCTGCGACTTTTGTTCTGTGCAGAATGGGAGCTCGGGACCCTTTTTGGTCGCTGCGGCCGCAGAGAAGGAGGAGTCGCGGCCGCGGAAGAGAAGCTGGTACGCGATGGAGAAAAATCTGCAGGCGCGATGGGAGAGGGGTGGTGCGGCGCGGCGGTCCACCGCGGAGTGAAGGAGATGACTGCCGCGGCGTTGGGCTGTGCCGCAGCGCGGAGAAGAGTGGTGGCGCGCCGTGAGGAGGACTTGTGCAGCGCCGTGGAGGAGTAGCAGCTTGCAGCGGCGTGACGGGGGCAAATCTGGTTGTGAGCTTCGTGGCGCGGCAGGTTTGAGCGGTGAGAGGTGTTGTCGCAACGCCGTAGTGGAGGTCTCGCGGCGTGGTGCATGCGTACAACTTGTTGGGCTGCCGGAGTTATCTCACGGTGAGGCGAGGAGGTTGGCACGATGCGGAGGAGCTGCGTGATGGTCCGGGAAGTACGCCTTCTGTCCAAGCATTACGGTCGTTGCGAGTTGGTGCATGGGCAAGTGGCAGGTTCCTTGAATTGGTTCATGTCCCGTGCTCAGTTGCGTTCGTTTGGGACGGAACCTGGTTCCATTTTCTCCGGTGTAATGGCGACGAACCCTTATACGAAATTATGTTTACCAAAATAGCTTCCTCTCCCATATCAAAACGATCAATGAACTCAACGTGCACATCACTCAAGACGACAAAAACGCAGCAAACGAAGAAAATAACCGAAAAACACATAAAGACTCTACAAAGATGAAAACACACGACAAGAAACAAAACGGACCAAAACCAAAAGAAAAAACATAAAATGGGGAAAAAAGAAAGTAAAAATAATCACGAAAAATGCAACAAAAATGGGACAAACAATCTTCATTTGAGGAGAATTTAGAATTTATTGAGAAAATTAAATAAAGTGATAAAAAATCGTTTTTCTTTTTGTTCAGGTAAAACATCAATATTTTGTTAAGTTAAGAATTCAAAATTTATTGATAAGATGAATTATTTATTAGTAACCGAAAATTCAATTTTCGATTATGATAATAGGCAAACCAAATTTTTGGTTAATCGAAAATTCGGTCGGTTCAGTTCTTGATCGAATGAGCAACCCTACTCGCATGAGTATGAGTATATACTTGTGCATATGAATTGAAAGCTTAAATTCAATCGAAGTCTCCAAAAATATTATAGCTCCATCTCCGATGGAGACGAGATCGCCCTCGCATTCCTCGATAAATATGATCGGATGTCGTTGCTTATTTAATTACTTTATTGCCTTTTTCCCTTATTATTATTAGACTTCCTTATTTATGTTATTTGGAATTAGGAAAATAATTATGTGGTTTTATCTTGTTTAGTAAGTTAGGTTTATGAGGAGTCTACGATATATATATTTGTATTCTCTTCAGTAGCAGACGATGAATAATTTTGAGATTAATATGATATTGTGAGTTCTTTCACGAGAGAGTATCTCGTATTTTTCCCGTTCTTATTCACGTTCTACATCAGCTGGTATCAGCAGACCAACAACGATCAACGATGCCGCCGAAAAGGAACACCGTAATCGACAACGCCATTGGCGAACGTTTCCAACGGGTGGATGAATGTTTTAATGGAATTGACGATAAATTCACGGATATCTCATCGGGGATCGACGACTTGTGTGATGCGATACGAACTTTGATGGTGGAGGTGTGTACGAACCGCGACGCCGGCGACCAAGGCACGCGTGGAGGGCTTCGCGGTGGCCGTGGATGACGTGGCTATGGGGCGGGGCCCCGCCGGCGGTCACCACCACCACCGCCCGGTGACGACGATTGTGAGGAGACCCTGACCATCGACAATCCGTTCACTGATGGGCACCAACAGCGCGGTGGGACAGACGGCTTCAACGCGCAGGGAGGACACGACGAGTGGCGCGACGACAAAGGGTTTTTGGACGACGCGCCGTGGGTCGGGTTTCTTTCGTGTCGGAGCAGGTCCTGACGGCGGCGATTACTTGAGCCGCAACGGGCTGAGCTTCGAGGAGGGCGAACACGAACGCCGCGAGGGCAGTTGATGGAGGAAGACCAGCGTCGTCGTGACCGGCGGCAGATGGGTTCGACGAGGACGACCCACGACATCGCGAGTGGGGTCCGGATGACGACAGCCTGGGATTCCACGGCGGCGGACAGCGGCGCCGCGGTGGGTGGTTTGATCAGGATTGGGCCCGGCTCGATGGTGGTGTCCTACACCATCGGGGCTGGGGCCAGGGACGTGGCGGTCGGGACTTCCATGGCGGGGGACAACAACAACAAGGTTTGGGCCGAGAAGACACGGGCCAGGGGATGTACAAGCGTGATTATCGTTGGGCAATGAACGGCGAGGGTGACCCGCGTTGGGATTTGGGGTTTCGGGTCGAGATTCCACAGTTTTCAGGAGGAGCAGATGCAGCGGAGTTCCTCGACTGGTGGGCTGCAGTCGAGTCTGTCCTTAAGTTTAAGGAGGTCCCAGACGAAAGGCTGGTCGCGCTTGTCGCCACGCGGTTTTG